GTCATGCTACTAAATCACAGTACATTCTCTTTCCTACGTCATGTTAAGTGGGGTACTTTATTCATTTCCGATTATTGAATAACATTTTTCTCATACAGTAAGTTGGTTCGGCGTTAAGGCCTGAGACTATCCCTCCCTTACCAGAAAATATGGACAAGTAACTTCAATCTCCCGCCTACATAAACTGACGAGTTATTATCTATCGGATCTGGAAATAAACAAGCGTAGCCACTTTACTGCGGTTTAATGACAAGTAATGAATTAATTATACATCCTGTTTATGCGATAGGGTCACCTCCACGTGGTGCACCCTGGGCAACGTATACTCATACGGCAAAATAGTCTATAAAATGGCAGTTGACTTCTGACTTCAAACTACCATCACCCGACTGTATGCCATATTCCAACACTTTCACAGCACTCGCCTTCACGTTTTCTCTACCTTTGTGTCTGTCTATCTCTTTTGCATCTGTGAATCGCTTTTCTGTTCCCCACACCTCGACTTTCTGCTACTTTGATGAACCTTCCCTCTGTGAAGCCCGAAGTCAGCTAAATGGCCAATGACAGCTATCAAAACGCCTACCATTTGAAATAAATAAATTTCTAATCCCATCACGTCTACTTTGGATTTTAAACTTGGCTTCTGCAAGTCTTTATTTAATAAAGAAGGTGTTACGGGCTACAAGAAACGGTTACATATTCTAGCACTCCGTAAACACAGTTTGCTTAACATAGGTTAAGAAAAAAATTATGAAAACAAGTAAACAATAGCAAAATGAAAACAAAAAGAAAACCCAAAAGAAAAGTACTGACAATGAAGAGAATGTCTTGGCTCCCCCCCTTCCTCCCTCCACACCTTCATTTAGAGCGTGGAGGAACGTGAAGATCGGTTATTGAAAGCCACCCTAAAACTCAATGTTTTAAAGTCTTGTTCGGTTTCCACGTTTTCGATATTCAAGTTGTCAAATGCTCCTTTAAAAGCCTCGCATGAAACTTGATCCTTGTCGCCTAGCTCAACCCCCGGTCTCTCGAATTCAAGGCGACATCTTAGTCCCCTCAATCGATTGGGAAGGTCAGCTTGAACTCCAATGTCATAAACTGGATTTTCTGGAGTTGATTGCCTAATGGGATAGATTCTGCCTGTATCGATGTTTGCGTAAACATGGTTTGACTCTATTCGTGTTATTTCATCTTCTCTTGCTTCAATTTCCGCAGTTTCTGGAGGCTGCTCTGCAGTGTATGATCTTCCAACCTGCATTTTCTTTCCAACTTTCGGAACAATCTGCTCTTCATAAATGGGTGACTGTATCTCAGTAATTTCCGATTTTCCACAAACGCCATTCTGACAGGCTGTGGAGTATAAAACAGTGCGCACCTTCTTGCTGTGGTCTCGTTTAAGGGTTGAATCCTCGAATGGAGTTGTATTTCCATCTGTTGAGTCCCCCATAGCAAATGTCGAATAGGACAGTGGAGTTCTCTTTGGTTTGATCACGTCCGAGTTCTTTATATAGCTGACACGACCAAGAGATAGGCTTTCAACCGGCAATTGGGTAATTTTTTGGGAACCTCGGGAATAAGTGTGACTAGTGTCATTGTCCGAGAAACCAGACTCACCGTCATCCGAAAACTTCGAAGACTTCTTTTTCTTACTATGAGGGTGTCGTCGCAGTAAGAATGGAAGTATGTTGTAAAAGCGATCTCTTTTACGGCCTCTTGATAAAGAACGTCCTTCCGGAGTGGGTTTTTCCACCGCCTCCTCCTCCTTTGAGTGCCGTGAAACTAATGAGACGCTATGATGTAGATTCTCAAAAGATGAAGTTGGTGAATGAGGACAACTCAAGTTATCGTCCTTTGTTTCGAGGGTAAGAGATCTGTGGCGCAGTTTGTGGCGTGACATTTTAGGTGACTTTGGGAAATCTGGCGTTTTGGAGAATTTTTTCTTTGAGACAACCACATTCTCTGGTTCCGCGTAGATGGTCGGTTGTGAAGACTGTAGGCGAATGGACTCGAGAGATATCTTGGGAGAGACATACACTCTTTCAGTTATATCTAACAAGCTAAAATTGAAATCGAGTTTTAGTCGCATAAAATTGATTTTTTTTCAAATGGGGAAAGTGAATCCCAAATGTGACCTACTCTTTCTCGATTTCATCTTTTGAAATTACAACGTCAGGTGTTTTGATTGTAGCATTTCGTTGATAGCAACCGACCATTTCCTAAAATGAAGTTTAGGGAAGGAAGTAAATAGCAAAAGTGTATTAAAAATGAGGGATTGAACCACTCTTCAACGTGAAAATTGTTTTTTTACCCATTATCTTAAACTACATCGTGTGTGTGATATAATTATATCAAATGGCAGGCGTTATGATAGTTATCATTAGCCCTTTAGTTGACTTCAGGCTTCACAGAAGGGAAGGAAAATCGAAGTGAAAAAGTCGAGATGGTGGGGAGGGGGGAACAGAAGAGTGATTCAAAGATGTAAAAGAAATAGACACAAAGGTAGAAAAAAGGTGAGGTGATTACTGTGGAAGTAATGGAATATGACATAGAGTGGGATGATGGTAATTTGAAGTGAAAAGTCAGCTGCCAGTTAATATACTTTTTGCCGTATGAGTATACATTGCCCAGGGTGCACCATGTGGAGGTAAGTCTATCGCGCAGACATTAGTGAATTTCGCTCAATGAATTAGGCAGTTAATTTGGTGGATATCCAAAAATTATCGGTTTTATGCAGCCAATAGGTTTGAACATTTCAATAGAATCCTTTTCCGCAAAGTAAATTATAAAAGCAATCACAATACACTACTGAATGTAAGAAGTAGTATATGTACGAGAAATTTACTCCATTTACTTTCCAGTAAACTCTCTTTATTAGCTTTATTTATGAAGTCAAAATTAGGGAGTCTTAAAAAACCGAAAAGGATTTGACTTTCTTACTAAACTTGTTTATCTCCATTTTTAGGAATAAGTATTAATAATAATAATAATAATAATAATAATAATAATGATAAATAAGGGCATTAATTTTATCTCTTATTTACTTAAATCAATTGACTAGCACCAGGCAAATCAACGATAACCTATTGGCAAGATCAACTTTTAATAAAGAAGGCACTTCAACAAATGTCAATATGCATGTGATATAATGTTGGATTTTGCGAAAAAAATAAAGTTTCTACTCTCGGGTTAATTTTCAAGGTATTTTAAATTTAAAGCAAAAATTGAATTGAAATTCCCTGAGTACTTTAACTTTATAGTTGCAATTTCGAAAAATTTAGATAACCATTACTAGAGTAATAAATTCAAGACGTTTTCAATGTGAGCTATGGCAAATATGAAACCCAGATCAACTTCAACTGGTATTCTATAGCCTACCTGAGTCAATGTGTAGCAAGCAATCTTATTATTGGCCAAAATTTGCAATTAGTTCGATTAGACATTGGCAATATTCAAATCTAGAATGAATAATGATGCGGGAATAATATTAGTTGAATGAGAGTTAAAAGTATTTACAAATTGACAAAATCCTGTTAAACAAACAGAAATAGATATTCCCAACGAGAAAAATTTCCTATCGTAAAGAATCTGTCAGATGTACCACATTTTTCTGGAAATGTATATGCATGAAATTTATTAATTTTTTTTAATAAATCGAGTCTTGAATTCAAGGGAATTTTGTATTCCATATTCATAATTATAGTGTAAATATGTCAAATCCATCAAATCAAACAACTAGGTTTTTTTAAAAAAAATTTACTTACCTCAAAGACATCAATGGCTCCGACCAAAGCATCGGCCGATTTGACATCCACATTGAGGCATTTGGATTTTTCGCCTACAAAATATTATGAATACAAAAACATTAGACGTATCTTCATTAAAATTTTATATATATATCTAAAAAATGCTCAAACTAAGGACCTTGATCGAATCGTTTAGCTTTAGCCTCATCAAGTAGTTCAATTAACTTCTCCGTTCCATCTTCATCCTTATATTCCACAATACCAACTAGTTCCGAAATCTTTTGAAGAGCCTTATCAACCCGAGCGATTTCCTCCGCGTTCAAAGATTCCTAATTATGAAATAGGTGTTTTAAAGCAATATAAGAATAACTTCTAACTTCAAATAAGAGTACCTTTGAATCTTCTTCAGAATCCTTAAGGAAAGAAATGCTCATTTCTCTTAAAATTTGGTCATATTTTGAGCAGGCTTTCTGCCACATTCTGAAAATCTGTTTTCGCAAACTAAAATTTAAAATAGAATAGTTAATATTTATTCTATGTTAATCTACTCTTCAATTATTTCCAAGTTATTGACGTTCGTTGGCACTGAACGGCTTCTTCTAAGACTTCTCTCTGATTTCAGAGTGTAATCAGTATTTAGAGGTCGTTCAGGAGAGTGTTCTGGTGATTCCAGCCACACAAAGGCGGCTGGGATGGAAGCCACTACTAGACCATCACGATCTACCAAAAACCATTCGCGATGAAGGAGATCTGCCGGAGGGTTAGCTCGTACTTGAATACGAGTTCCAGAGTGTAAAAGCTTTCCGGGCTTCCCGCTCGAGAGAGGCAGAGTTATTGAGGTCAGAAGAACGCCAGAATGAAGACCTCGAGAAAGTGGCATTCGACGGTGAAGTGGACTCACTAATTGAACCCTTTGACTCAACTTTTGCCACGAAGAAAACGCCTGCACAAGAGATTCCTAATTTTTAATAATAAAATCTCCAATTACTCGAATTGATTAAAAATATTAACAATATTTAAATGAAAAATTTAGAAAAGATTTCTGATTTTTTCAAATTTAATGCCTTATGGAATACTTGCATAAAAATGATTTATTTTCAAAATATAATGATTAGTTGTGTAAACGTTGTTCTTAAATTGCTGCCTAAATTGTCCTCTTTTTCTTGCTAATGGAAAATTATCTTAAAAATGATACTTTGACATTCGTTATTTTTTCAAGAAATTCGACCAATATTACCAAAATTTGATGAATATCTGAAGTAAGAGCGTTAACATTTTGTTCGCTGGGAGTTTGCACTGTTACCAAACCGTCCAGATGAGAATCAATTTCATCCAACTTGCGTTCAATATTTTCAATTTCCAAATAGAACTAAAAGTTAAAAATTATAAAGACTCGCATATACGTATAAAGTCTTTTTAATATAATAAGCACTCAACTACTAAGCCAAAGCAAGTTGATACTAATGCAATTAAATACGATGTATGAGTATAATATAGTTGTTAAAATAATATCAATTTTATTAACTGGTAATTTCAAATATCAATTGGTAGAATCGGCAATGCAAACACAATTTTGAATTAACTGACGAACCAAATGATACCGCTTTGCATGCTTAATATGCGAGAGAAGAATGTTTCCGAGATGAGAGATATGTTGCCAAGAATTATCGACTTCTTCTGTGATTTTCTAAAATCGATAATAAGTGTTCATTAAAACTTTAAATCTACAATTGGTGAAGATAATTATTTGTGAAAGTTTACTTCAGAATTCAGCGCCTCTCTGTTCACCCCCCTGCAGTCATGCGAGAGCAAAAGAGAAGTCTCGATCACCTTATCCGCTAAATGCTAAAAAAATTTAAGTTTTATAAAATTTAAAATCGACTACAGTGATAAAGTTATTAAAATATATTTTATTATAGCTGGTTATGCTTTTCCTATAGCTAATTTATTTTGCCAGAGTCACTTACTACAAAATCCCTTTCGAGACAACTAATTCCACGAAGATAATCCAACGTTTCAATGTTATTCTCAATTCGGGTCTAAAATATTAAAAAGAAATACCAATTTTGCTTAAAATCAACTACATATCAAGATTTAATAAAGTCGATTCGTTTACCTGAGTTTCCTTAAGAGACTGTTCGTGACAATCTGAACTCTGCAAAACAATTGATTTTAATAATTATGGCACTCAATATACGTTATAAAAAATATATTTTTATTTTCAATTAAAAGCATTAATATACTTTTGCATTGTTACGATTATGCCCGAGTAATTGTTTAAAAAATAGTTGTTGCCTATTTGGATCACGAAAAAGGTGCACATTTCTAATCGAATTTCCCCATTCCAACGCCGATTTTGCCTTTGAATTAAATTGAATGTAATAATAATTTGTAAATTTTTTTATATAACTTACCTCCATGATATGTTCCTCTTGATTATTACTCAAATCTGCACCGGTAGGGAGCCAAATATTATTTTCAGGGTGAAATTGACTACTAAAATAGTGTTCACTACCAATTTGACCTTGATACGCGGTCAAATCAGTGATCAGAATTTTCGAATATGTGTCTTTCATTCGCTGAGTTGATCGGGTTTCTAAATCGCTGGTTCGCTAATTCTCCTCTCAGTGCACATGTGTTTACGCCAGCAGTTCATATATGCAAATTCGGCGCATCTTGCTTCATTGGGCATGCCAAATCTACGCAGTTTCAAATTCTACACCAACAAAAAGTTAAATATAACATAATGGCTTCCACCACACTTCTCTCCCCTCC